CCATACTTCTTGCCACTGACTGAAGCAGTTTTAACTGGTCTAAATAAGTCAATGTGCAGAAGTTCTAATGGCTTAGAGGTAGAAACAACATTTTTGGATTTAAAAGAAGGTTTTGCAAATTTTCCTTTCTGACATGCTTCACACAGAGCATCTGAATTGAACTTCAAATTAGGAAGTCCTCTGACCAGATTGAGTTTTCTAATCTGAGATATTCTTCTCATACTAACATGCCCCAATCTTCTGTGCCAGATCCACTGCTCGTTGTTAACAGACAGAAGACATTTTACATTCTGACTCTTTAGTTCAGAAAGTTTGATTTTGTAAATGTTGTTTTTCCTCTTACCATTAAACAGGATAGTCCCATCTTTCTGACTAACAGCTTTACATGATTTTTGATTAAAGATTATATCATAACCGTTATCACTTAATTGACTTATGGATAACAGATTATGCATCAATCCATCTACTAGCAGAACATTATTAATAGAGGGAAGATTTCCATTACCTACAGTTCCAGAGCCAATTATCTTTCCCCTCTGATTGCCTCCAAAGCCAACGTGGCCTCCTGGCTTAAGTTCCAGGCTTTGGAACATATGCCTTCTTCCCGTCATGTGTCGTGAGCAGCCAGAATCCAGGTACCATGACTGGTGTTTCTGACTTGCTGCTAAAGATATCTGCAACATGTATTATTTTATCCTTAGGTACCCAGATTTTCTTGGGTCCTGATTTGTTAGTTTTACCAAAACTCTGGTTGAATTTTGGTTTCACGGAGTGCTTACTGCTAGTGTATTTAATATCATGTGTGTGACCATACACAAAGTGTGAATTCAGAGGAGTGTGTTTAATGGTTAAGTCCATGACATTCTTTGGTGTAGGAACCTTACCTTGGTATCTTATTCCTTTTCTGCCGTTTCTGCTAACTCCATAGATCATTGAAGCCATTTTGCTTCTATCTATGCTTTTAGCGAGGAACTTCTGGAAACTGTGATCATACTCCTTGATGATCTCATCAGCGTTGCTGGGAGTTTCAGAAATTGGTTCCTTCTGAGAGTTTTGTAAAGTGTTTTCTAATTTTGAAATCTTATTTCTCAGCTCAGAATTCTCCAATTTGAGACTCTCAATCTTATTAGAGTCAGATTCAAGATTCCTTTTCAGGTCTCTGAATTTAACTCTAATTTGTTGATACCGTTCCAGAATCTCATTAAGGCTTTCAGCAAGTTCAGCCTTTGTAAAGTTAACAGCAAAGTTAGGAAATACCTCTTCAGTATCTGATTCTGAGTCTGATTCAGAAGCTTCACTATCTTCTGAGATGTTGGCCATGAGAGCTATGTTTGCCCTCTCATCATCTGATTCTGAGTCAACTTCAGACGAGTCAGAGTCATCCCATGTAGCCATGAGACTTTTCTTCTTCTCTCTTCCAAACTTCTTTTTGGGCTTTTCCCTCTGAAGCTTTGGGCAGTCACTCTTATAGTGTCCTTGCTCATTGCACTCATAGCAGATGATGTCCTTGGTGTTTGGCTTTTTGCTGCTGGAGGAGCCTTCAGATCTTCTGTATCCAAAGGAAGAATTTGTCCTTCTGTATCTGGAAGAAGACTCGTTCTGATCAGATCTTCTGGGATTCCTGAACTTCCTTTGTCTTTGCTTCCACAGTTGATTTACTCTTCTGGAGAGGAGAGAGAGTTTGTCTTCTTCTGATGAGGATCCATCAGATGTTTCTTCAACTGCCTGCAAAACTTTAGACTCAAATTTTTTGTTAGATTTTAATGCTAAAGGCTTACCTTGCTTCTGAGGCTCGTCAGCTTCTAGCTCTATCTCATGACTTCTGAGGGAGCTGATAAGTTCCTCCAGAGTGATTTTGTTGAGATCTTTAGCTAGCTTCAGAGCTGTAACCATAGGTCTCCACTGCTTGGGTAAACTTCTGATGATTTTCTTGACATGGTCAGCAGTAGAGTATCCTTTGTCCAGAACCTTGAGACCAGCTACCAGAATTTGGAATCTTGAGAACATTGTTTCAATGGATTCAGATTCTTCCATTTTGAACGCCTCATACTTCTGAATGAGCGCCAGAGCTTTAGTTTCTTTGACCTGAAAGTTGCCCTCATGCGTCATTCTGAGTGAGTCAAAAATATTCTTTGCTGTGTCTCTGTTGGAGATCTTTTCATATTCAGTATAGGAGATGGCACTGAGGAGGATGGTTCTGGCCTTGTGGTGATTCTTGAAGTCACGCTTTTGTTGGTCAGACATTGTTTTTCTATCAATCTTCTGACCGCTTGCATTCACAGGGTGCGTGTATCCATCTGTCACCATATCCCACAGATCAGCATCATGTGCCAGAAAGAAGCTTTCAATTCTGTCTTTCCAGTAATCAAAGTTTTCTCCATCAAAGACTGGAGGTTTGCCGCTGAATCTGTCTCTGTCCTCATTGTTATCATTGCTGATGTGAGAGTTGTTTCCTGCCATTGTGTTTTTCTGACGCTGGATCTTGTACTGACACGGTTAAGTGTTTTAGCTCAGAACCAGGCGCTCTGATGCCAATTGAAGTAGTGAAAAACACAAGAAGGGGGGGTTGAATTGTAAAACTGAAATCTAATGCAATGAACAAGATATTTTTATCCTGGTTCGTTTGATCTCAAACTACTCCAGTCCACCCGTCAAGGTGATTTCGCCTCTCTCCAACGAGGTCTTAATCCACTATATTCAACTGAATATTACAGACTGCTTTAACAACTGCTAAAGCCTTCTTGATGCAAACCACAACCCGGTTTGTCAAGGAAACACTTTCTTACAAAGAGATCAAATCTAAGTGTGTGAATGTTTTCTACAAAACTGTATCACAACTGTGATGTATACACAAATTAAAGCTTAGAAACTAGATTGCTAAACAATGATAGAATATCAGAATGTGTAGTGTTTAGCAAAACTGAGAGAAAGAAGATTTTGATCAGCTTTTATGCGTGTAAAGATTTGGAGAGCATTAGCCATTTCAATCTTCAAAGTCTTGTTTATATAGCACTGAGATGTTGAACGTTGGATGCAATATTCTTGATTCAATGCTAATAACAAACTTTCCTTATCGAGCAGATCTTGTCTGGAATGAGGCCGTTGGTATTAATTTGCTTTCAATGCACAGTACCGTTGCTTACTTAATGCAAGTTCTGGCTTGGCTCATTCTGACTCTGCTTAGCTGCTGATGAACTGTTGTGTTTCTTTATCAGAGTGTTGAGTGCAGTCTTGTTCATCAGGCTTCAGCATGTACGTGAGTTGATCATCTGATTCTGACATTCTGATATGGCAACTTCTGATGCTGATGTCAGGAACCAAATTCTGATGCTGAATAGGTGTGTTCTTGCTTATATCAATCAGAGTATCTGCAAATTAGAACGTAATAACTTAGGCAGCAGATAGTTCATACATGAATCACATAAATGATATATCTTTTCACTTTGTTATCATCAAAACTTAAATATAGGGTAGTAGATTCAAACTTTGTTCTAACAATTAGGACCCAATGCATCTATAGTATCCTATAGGAACCTTTTGAAATATTTGTTTATTAAAACTGTTTGTTTGATTAAAAGAGTCCGTTTGGCTAAAAATGGGTGTGGATGAGATTTTAAAGATTCGACGACCTAGTGTCGAAGTTTTGACTTAAAAGGTGTGAGTTTGAAAATTGAATATTAAGTTTGGAAAAAAGAGTAAATAGGAAAAAATGAATGAAGGTATTCGCAGAATCGTAAGATATATTTTTGATGACATGAAGTCAACAAAATAAAAATATTTCCCTTGGAATTGAGACGGACGAAAGATAAAGATTAAACGATCAAGAATAAAGTTAATTAAAATGACAATTGAACGATTAAATAAATAATGAAAATTGAATTATACTAGCATGCATTTTCAAACGAAAATTAAATAAAATATTAGTTTATAAGCATGTATTTAAATAAACAAAAATTAAATAAAAGATAATTCATTAGCATGTATTGGGATAATTAAATAAATAGAAAAATTAAATAAAGACTAATTTGATAATATATTTTTGTATGTTTTAATGGAATAAAAAAATTATATATAAACTAAATTAATAATTTATTATCAATTATGTTTAATAAAAAAAAGGAATAATGGCCAAAAGAATCAAGAAAAGCAGAAAAAATTGCCTAACTGAGAGTTGAACCCAGGTCTTCTAAGTTACTGCAAACATGCCTTACCAACTGAACTGTATTGTTTAACTGTTATTATTATGATTTAATTAATACAAAAGGGTGAGTAAGATAGAGGATTGGGCTAGTAGGCCCAATGGGCTGACCCGGTTTGGGGGAAGGGAAAGGAAAATTTTTGAAGCCCTAAAATGCCAAGACAGAGGCGTCGGATTCTACTGTTATTGGGAAGGGAAATACACTCACTAATTGCTATTTCCAATAAAATATATTCTTTATGTTTTACCGTAAGAAAACAAAATTAATTCTCTCTCACATCCTTCGGAAACGCTCACTTCCTCTCCCTGCTTTCTCTTCAAACCCGTCATCTATCATGCTAACCTTTCTCCATCACTCTACAATTTCAAACCCATCGCTCTCATCTCTCTTATTCACACCTTCACCTTCATAACAACAACAACATCCTCCTTCATCTGAACGCTGAACATTCCATGTCGTGTTACTCAAACCGAAGCTTTTGGGAACTTAAAGTTTTCACATTCATCTTCTCCAATTCGGCTCTTGAGCTTCTCACAGGGAGATTTGAAGATGAAGAAGAAGATGATGGATGTTATGGATCCTGAGAGCAGATTCTAGAAGAAGAGATGTAGTTCGGGAAGATTTGCAGGGGATTTTAATCGGGGATGTTAATTCGAACAAGGGGCGATTTTCTGAAGTCTGGTTGAAGTGAAACACAACGGAGGGGCTAATGGTGGGTCTACATTGGAGGTTAGAATGTACTCAGGTATGTGCTTCGCCGTTTGATTTTTCTTATTCGCTTCTACTGCTGTGCATTGGTTCTTATGCCGAAGTTATTGTTTTGTTGGAAATAGGAACATGGTATGGGAATAATTGCGATGAGGGGTTGATGGCTGAGTTGTGGTGCATGGTTTGATCACCTTTCTCAACAGGTTGGCTTCCTGAAGCTGCAGATAATCCATTTATATGAGAAGGATCAACATAATTGTTCTGATGGATAAACATGTTTCCTCTTCCTATTCCCTTCAAAAGTTTAGACTGATGTTTAGGCTGATTAGGATGTTGTCTCGCAGGCTGTTGATACTGACTCTGTTGTGCCTGTTGTTGTTGTTGCTTCACTACTTGACTAGTCACACTAGAACCAAGATTTCTAATGAACCCAAGTTGTGGCAGATGATGAAAAAAATGGTGGTGATGGAGAACCAGAAAAGAAGTAGGAGGCTTAACGCGTGAGGTAGAAGAGTGGGTATCGGAGTGTGGTTCTGTATGGTGTCTGCTATATAGATGTGTATCATATTAAGATCAGACTCAAAGAAGAGTTTTAAGACATGCATATTTTTTATTATAAAAAGATACTCATATTATCTACTGAGATCTATTTGTTCTAACTCTAAATTCCCAACTGAACTAGTTGGCTAATATTTTTTAAACTAGAGTTTTTTAAATAAATGGTCCTCATGTATGATATGTCTTGATTGTTATGTACCTTTGTTTTTTTTAGGGATGACTTCCTGTCTAAGGGATTAAAATTAACGTTGTAAGCAAGCACATAAATATAGTATACAGTAACAAAACCAATGATAAGCCATGCCCAAAGACCAACAAAAACACACAAGAATAGCTTCCAAATCTTGACAACTTTTTGCTCTCCAAAACTGCAGATGGTGAAGGTAGATGGGAGTGTTTGAGTAGAGAAATTTGAAGGTATATTTTTATCTTTGTGAATCTATGTCATATTGTGCATTTTGTATGCGTTTATCACTATTACTATTATTCTAACATTTCTAAATGTCAACACTTTGCAGCAACTCAAAAATACAGCAAAGTGATAAATCAAGCGATCATATGGCATAAAAGTGATGCAAAAAGAAGATTCAAATTGATGGATATATGAGAAAGTTATGCAGAAGTAGATAGGGAGAAGAAATACCTATCGGAGTCTCTCCGATGGAGCTTCAAAAACAGTAAGTTCTCCCTCCCTCACTTTATGATGCTCAAACTCCTTTGACTCTGATTATTTGCTTGTAATTCTTGAACAAACTTCCTCTTTTTTCTGTTTTTTTTTATCTCCTTGAGTTTTTTCTTTGTGCTGAATTTTGTGTTTCTCTTGTTGTATCTCCTTTCTTTTGTGTTGTTCCCCCATTCTGTTCATGAAGATGCCTCTATTTATTGTGAAATATGTGAGGTTTTAGGGGGGAAAATAGTAGAGATTTTAACTATTTTAGGCTCTGCTTTGATGTTTTATGAGACAAATTTTTGAAGTGTGCATTTTAGTGCAATGTTTGGAGTTTTGTAGACTGGTTTTTGTAGCAGCAAAGGTGCAGATTTTTGTCTTATGGGCTGCATTTTGGACTGTTTTGCAGGGCAGATTAGGACAGCAATTGGCATGGTTTTTGTTGAAACAAGGTTGGAGAAAGTGGACAGTATTATACTCAAGAATTGGACTGTTATTGGATTAAAACAGTGCTGGAAAAAATTGGCAGCATTGGGACTGTTTTGTAGCAAGAATAATAGCTTGATTTTCATGTACAAAATTTGAATTTCTTTTGTAACTTTCTAACAATAAATCCAAGTAAATTGTAACATGAATGGATATGTATTCTTCAATATATTCTCAATTCCCTTGTAATTGTAAATAACTTTGAATATTCATTTGAAACTGAGTCTTCATATGTCTTGATAAAAATTCAAGACCTTCCATTTGAATTGGGAAAGAATTGAATAATACTTGAATAAATTATTGAATGATGAATAAATGATAATGCAAGCCTTAGACTTTAATCTTGCATTTTGTAATAGAGATCCAAATAAATCACATGAATTGATTTTGTAATCAAATAGCAACCATCATGTAATTAATCTTGTGATGAACGATTATTTGAATATAATTTCTTTTTCTAATATCTCCTTAATAAATGCTTCATGTGTGTTCAAATAACCATAATGTAAATCCACCAAAATAATCACACAAAATAATCTTGAATAAATTATGCATGTGATAAATGATTATTCTTGAATGAGATCTCTTGGTAGCTCCTCTTTAATTATCGCTTGAATTCAAATAAAGAAAATTCCAAGTATTCCGAATAAATTCTTCTAGAAAGGTTTTGAATTTAATCATCCCATTTTGACGAAATTCACCCCGCGTCATGAGAAAAACTTGCAGATGACCTTTGGTCGAAGTGATCGGAAATGACTGGCATAGCTTGTTTTCTTGTATTTTAAAGCAATGTGAAACACACATGAACTAATGGCAGTAGAACTTCGACTGTTCTTTCTGAAAAATTTCAGAGACGCTCGAGACCATCTGTTGGACAGAGTGTGGAAGTAAACACACGATTCTCTGAAATTCTTTTGATGAACCAGCCTTTGAGGATCAACGATCGACCACATTTATGTCCCAGTACTCTAAACCTTAATTGATGTGTGACGTCAGATGCTCTTCTTTTAGACCTATTTCCTGCACATGAAGTAAAAAAAAACATACACTTCGTGCTTGATTATTGGTTAGTCATTCATAAGATAAAAATGCTCACAACACTCGATAATCTCTACACAGTAAAAGCTCAAAGGTGAAACGTTCGAAACCTACCATGTTCTATGACCTTGATGTATATATAAAACAATGCAAATGAAGAAGGGATCTTAGGTCAAAAATTGGGGTATGACAGTTTGTTAAAAAGATGAAAACAAACAAGTGATAAAAATTTGTTTTGGTCCTGCCAATGTTTGAACCTAGGTTCTCCACACCTTCCATTCAAAATAGCCAACACTCAGTATGTTATAAACCTGCATGTTAGTTTGGAAAAATGACAAAATAAATACAAAAGGTCTCGCTGGGGCTCGAACCCAGGACCTTCTACATGGTAAGGCTTTAGTGCGCGCCGTTTGTATCACTGGGGTGGTCTGTTTCATTCGTTAGTTATACAAATTGAACTAAATATAAAATGAACTCATTTATGAAAATTTGGACATGGTTTCATCTTCTTCCTTCGCACGTGTAGGGATGCATAACTCCAATGTTAAGCTTCGAAAAGCTTCAATTCTCAGTCAAATTGAAAGATGTAAATATCAAACCAGCCTAAAATTTGAATACGAATCTAACCACATAATTTTCAAAATTTATGGGTCGGATGTTAGCATGAACTTTGTTCAGTACTAAACTAAAACCTAACTGATCAGAGAATAAATTCTCAATGTACAGGCAAATATAATCAAAACTATGGACATGGTCAGCTTGCTAGACATGATATCTACATCTTTTATTCATAGTGTATATACAAATGATGCTTGAATAAAGAGTTCCAAGTTCGAAAACTTACCTCTTGGAGAGAAATTCGAAGGACTTCTATATGAATTCCAGAAATGGTTTGATGATGGATTAAGCTTGCCTAGACCTTCCTTGAGTTAGTGGGATCACTGCTTTGCTTTAAAAGTCGCTGAATCTAAAGGTTGGTATATGGAAGCTTGGAGTGAATCGAAAGGATCACTAACGCACAAAGGGATTTGAGATTATTGTGTGTAAAGTCAGGATGTGCCAAGTTTTGTGCTTGTGTGCAGGTTCTGAGTTTTTTGAGAGTTTGGGAGTGTTTGAAGATTTTTCAACACATAAGCATTTGGCCCCCTTTAGCTTGCAAATGGCCTCTCTATTTATAGAGAAAAGGTTTGAGAAGTTGAAGTAATCAGATTTGCAAGATAATAAATTATGGTTTGGTTGGAATGCAAATATCAAGTTATGTCAAGTTTTCCATGATCCCAAGATGAAGTACCAAAGTTGTTGGTGCAGAGGGGCTACTTTCCACTATCAGAAGTATGCAAGGTATGGGCTCAAGACAAGTTTTGTACCAACAAGCTTACTTTATGGAAAGATCTTTTGGACAATGCCTTAATAACTTGGGTAAGAGCTTAATTCATTGTGTAAACAATTAATTATGGATTGAAACACAAGTTTGAGGCCTGCAAAGCAAGATCACGTAGCATGGCCTATGGATTTGATCTTTTCTTTACTCTGGTTTTCGACAAGCATCTTAAATATGTCGACTAATTTGTCCCTTTGTTTTGATCACATGGATCCATAACTTTCGGACAGACTCATCAACAGACAAAATAATATTAGTTTCCACCAATTGTATGTTCTTCGAATGGACCATATTCATATGAATGTACCACTTTGTGGGTCGAAGAAAGCATGAAGATATACTTGTAATTCATAGTGTCGAAACTATGTGTGTCGAAGGGTTTAGTATGTGTTTCAAAGCAGGTTGCTCGAAGGAAGCCAATGCTTAATTTAAGCTTGTGGATCGAAGCAAGCTTGAAGGAAACCATTGCCCAGTCGAAGCTTGTGGATCGAAGAAAGCATGAAGATAGCCATTGCCCAGTCAAAGCTTGTGGATTGAAGCAGGCATAAAGATAGCCAATGCCCAGTCGAAGCTTATGGATCGAAGCAAGCATGAAGATAGATATTGCCCAGTCGAAGCTTGTGGATCGAAGCAAACATTTCCCAGTCAAAGCTTGTGGGTCGAAGCAAGCATGAAGATAGCCATTATCCAATCGAAGATTGTGGATCGAAGTAAGCATGAAGATAGAAATTTCCTAATCGAAGCTTGTGGATTGAAGCAAGCTTGCTCTTCTCCGATTTGTCAAAATATGTCCACCACTCCTTTTTAATCAATCATGTGGTTCGAACAAGCTGATTCAGATTTTGAATTCGAACTGTTATCTGCAGCTACACACCTTTCGATCTGCTTTGCCCTTTCAACAGTTTCCTCTTCCTCCTTTCTTCGACCTGATGCTTGAGAGCCCAATATGATTCATGGAAACTATATAGGGCATTACAAGTCCAATTGTACTTATACAAACTCAAACCCTAATTTTGAGTCATCAGTGTTTGGGGAGGATATCTTGAGCTGATCAAACCTTGTGCAGTCTTGAATCAATAGAGATCTTGTGAGAAAATTCTTGAGAAATGAGAGGGAAAATTTTGGGGTACAACAGAAGCCGTGGCATATCTTCCTATGACCAAGCGAACACTTCAACATAGTCGTGCAACATCTGGACCAATATTTTCTTGACACAATCTTTCAAGTTGGCGCCGATCTTGACTTCCTTCTTGTCTTCCTCAGTACCTAGGTTTATCACCTCAACTGACTCCTCGTGTGGTCGAATGGCCTTTTCCTCTTGTATCAGAAGTCTGGCGAGTTCCCCAGGTATTTCTTAATCTTCCTCGCCTTCATATTCAGCTTGATAGATTGGATTTTCAAAGTCATAGATGGCAATAGTATATTCATTGTCAATGAGATCCGAAGTGGATGTGGATATGCAAATGTGTGTGTGTGCATGTAAGGCCACATGGCTATTTTTTTGAAAATGCAATAAAGTAAAGAAAGACAATGAGCGCAAAATTTGAATGCAAAATAGCCCAATGTTTTTTATTAAAATGAGCATATGGCATATGAAAATGACAAACCCTTAACAAATGGACCACTGTGCCTTGGGCAAGGCACACAGCTTAAAGTCATTGTTTCAATAGAAATTACAAACATAGTTCTTAAAGTAATAAAAACAGTAAATGGAATTTACTCCTGGTTGAAGGAGAATGGGATGAAGTCCTTGGTCTGCAAGTTGTCGAGTCCTCCGTCAGCAGTCAGGTAGATCCAATCATCAAAGTTGCAATCAGCATCAGAGTCTTCAAGGGAATTAATCTCATGTTTACTAATGTGGAGAGGTGGTTTCCCTATGCGAGCACGTCGAACCTCCTTTTGAGCTTTGGAAATGAATCCTAATCTAGATTTGTATGACTTGAAAGGGAAATTAGGAAGTTGTCCCCAAATGGTACAACCTTCTTCTTCAATAACAACACGGGCATCTTTGAGAGAAGCTACCCTTGGTGTATCTTTAGCAACTTCGGGAGTGTTAGGAGTGGCCTTGGTAATAACAACCATGGGAGAGAACACTTCAAAATCTTGACAAGGAGTTTCAATGAACTCGCCGTCCATTTCAACATATTTGAATGAATTTAGATGACTAATCATAAACTCTTATTCACCACGGACGGTAACAATTTTCCCCTTGACCGGATATTTCAACTTTTGGTGTAGCATAGAAGTGACCGCACCTACCCCATGTATCCATGGGTGTCCAAGCAGGCAAGAATAAGCAGGACAAATATCTATCACATAGAATGTCGAGTTGAAGACTTGAGACCCAACTTTGATAGGGAGATCAACCTCTCCATGGACCATCCTCTTTGATCCGTCAAAAGCTATCACTATGATGTCACTAGGATTTATTACCAAACCTTCACAGTCTAACTTATCTAGGGAACCCTTTGGTAAGACATTCAGGGAGGAACCATTATCCACCAACACATGGGATAAAATGGTGCCTTT